ATAAAAGTGTACCCCAATAAAATTTTGGCATTTATTGTCTCAAAACCCCAAACCCTACAGTTGTTTTAGCAAGATTTTCAATTGAGCAAACAGTTTTTTCTTCCTGCTACCTTGTAAAAGAACTCCTCTCTGCCCTCCATGAGCCCACCAGGAGGCATGAATTAGAGAGGAAAATAAACTTCAACTGGGGTTGAGGGTGAGAAGTGAAAACAGAAGGGGTAAGGAGAATCCCAACAATAGGAAAGTAACAGAATAAAGTGAATGCAGATGGTTCCACTCCTGTTACTTAATCAAAAGGCTGTGCAGAGTCACTAGAGCCAGCATAAAGTCATGTGTTAGAACAACAGCTGATCTGTATTAAAGAAGATTAACTCGCAATGCCATGGTGGAGGGCCTGGGATTATTTTATGTACTTCCATTGCCGAACAAGCCGTCAGCACAATTACTGCCCTCCGATGTGAATGACTGATCTGTAACCACAGCTAAACAGCATGCTGCTTAGGGGCCTGGGTGCTTCATGAAGATGAATTTCCATACCATCAAAGTGCTTTTAATGGGCTTCCTGATCCAACCACAAGGCCTGCTTTGCAAGTATATAGAACTCAGGATGAAGGCTTCCTGTCCAAAAGGATTTGGTCGGTTGTCACTTGACAATTCCCAGCCAGCACAAGGGAGGAGAGGGGGGAGATAGGTAGAGTTGTCTCTGCTTTGGAGGATTAAAAAAAAAAAAAAAAAAAGGGAAAAAAAGGGTACAGATGCTTTCTGAATGCAACCAACTGCTGTATCCACAGCTGAATTCAATGCGCTTAACAAATAACGGCAATTTAGCTATGCTTGCGAGGAATAGCTTGAGTCACTTTGCATTAGCATCTGGCTGAGTGTTAAAGTCATTTCTACATGGGGAGCAGAGAAAAGAAATTTCTGCTCCGAGCATCCTTTCAAGAATGCTTAAATATTTGAATATAAATTCCTTTGTGCTTGTGATCACTTCTTCTTATATCTGACACTCTGCTTTTCCCTTTTCCCTTCTGGTACTCTTCTATGTGAAATGCCGTAAACATGCTCCATCCCTCTCTTTCTCTCTCCCCATACCAGCACTCTTATTCTTCTGAGAGAGATTGTATGTACAGCCAGGTACCTATTACACTGCCCTCTTTTTCCCTTCCCCTTCCTCTCAAGAAAGTGCATGAAATTGGAGTCATTTCTACATCACTTACTCCCAGGACAGGCTGATGAAAAAAGTACAGTAGTGCGAGACTCACATGTACATTTAACATTCATTACCCAGACTGCTGGCTTCTCACAGCTTATTGATCAAACTCCATCTAAACCCAGGGAAAATGGAAAGCTATCCAAATTAGCAATCTGCTCATTCTGGACAATATTGTTTGACTCACAAGCTTCCTAGGATGACTGACTTTCAAGTTTCTGCTAAATAGCTGATCATTTTTATTCATTCCATTTATCTGCCTGTCCCAGTGATTCACACAAGGCCTTACAGTGAAAAGCCAACAGAAGCAGTTTCAATAAAATTCATTTTACACCAAATGCAACAACGGTCAGCTTTGTTGTACTGCACGACGAAGGCTCCATCACCTCAGAAAATAATGCAGGGGGAGAGAGGAGCTGAGGAAAAAGTCTTGCTAAGCATATGATGTTGAGAGGCACACTCGAGTTTGGATGTACGTCTCAGGCAGCGGTATTATAAGGACAGCTCGCTGTAAATGGGGCAGCAAGGACGGGCAGGCCCATTTATCCTCCGTAAGCCAGGGCAGCGCACAGAAAGACAACAGGTATTTCCAGAGAAAAGCAGCAAATCACCATCTCTTTGACACGCGTGACGGTTACAGCACATACAAGATTTTCTAGAGAATCTTCACCTTGTCGATACTTTGCACAACCTCACGGGCCAGTTCAGAAGCAGAGGGTGGTAAGGCCCTTAAGTTCTGCTGCCTCTACGTTTCACTGCAAATACTTGGTGCAGTTTGTGTTGTCAATTCTCTGTTTTTTCAACTTTGTTAAGTCATCTAACGTGACGTGACAGTGCTCCATTGCAATGGTCAGAAATATCATATATGACAACCTCACAAGGCTAAATACCCAGAAGCTGAGCCTGAGTATCAGCAAAGCTTATGTTCCTAAAGAAGCTTGAATATTTTCAAATCCAGCTCATCTCACAAACACATGTAAGCATTTCCATAAAGGAAGATTTCCACTCAGACCCAGAGATTTCCAAGATCACCTTCTCGTAATACACACTGACAGGCTGGAACAGAGAATTAGTGGCCTCCGAAGTTCTCGTGAGGGCTTTAGCTATCTCTGCCTCCTCTCCACTCTCCCCCAAGGGTGTCCAGGTCTCTCTCTCATGTCAGGTTTTGGATGTGGTTTTCATTTTACTTTTCATTTTTATTTTAAAGAAGCAACTCTTCTGTTTAAAAATGGAGAAGAAGAAAATAGAGCAAGAAAAAGGAGGAAAAAAAAACCTGGAGGAAGAACCTATGCATCCCTTGGGAGAGCCAAAGGCAGTCTCCAACCCTTTGCAAAGGGAGTCTCGGGAACTCACCTTTTCTGTCCTGCAGTTATTGAGACCCAGGCTATTCACCACGGCCACCTTCCCATCCAGCACCTGCTGTTCCCTCCGAAGCTGCTCCTTCATCTGCCGGGCCTCCTGGATTGCCTTGGTAACAGCATCGTGGTCATTTAAATAACCTGACGACGCGATAGAAGAAAGGATATCTTAAAAAAAGAAAGTTACAAGAAAACACTTTAGCTTGCATCCATGAAATGCACCGGTCGTTTATCATTACTCACACGAAACAGTTAAAAGGCGAAGCCCAGAATCCCGCCCGTGCTTTGTAGTTGTGTTATTGTTATGGTAGAGCCACCTGGACAGAAAGCAGGAGAAACCTCCCTGCCAAAAATCATCATCCTGAAACTTGATCCCATTAGTTTCAGTATTTCCCTGACGCTGCAGAGGTTAGCCCTGTGGTTTGTAGGCAGCAGGATGTAACCGGATAAGAGTTAGGGGAAGCTTTGATCATGCCAGCAATGCCAAACTCTTAAAAATAGACCATTTCATTCTTCCCCTTCTGAAAACTTGTGAATACATTAAAATAAACCACAGGTGGCGGTGGTTTACTATAGATATGAAATGCATAATGGCTGGGAAGAGAAACCTCGTCCCCTGCATGCTCCCCACCACCACCTGTCATTCAGAAATGTATAAGCAACCACAGCTACACGGACCTACGCTCCCGCTCCTATTCACGCTGCTAATAGTAGGTCAAATGTCCACTGTTTTGCTGCAAATTCACAGCCCAGGGCTTAGCCTTAGTAGTCACTGAATTATTTCCTTTTAAAATGTTACAAGCATCACCGGCACAGCTAATACTATTTAATTTTGAATGTGACACTTTGTCATTTTTTTCCTTTAGCGTACTGTAGATTATACTTATTATGATCTGCATGTGATTTGTAGGATAGAATACTGATGGGAGACTCCAAGCCCCAGTCTATTTTTCAAACATTAAAGGAGAGGCTAATATCTATCAATCTCCCTCCCCCTCCTCCACCTCCCCACGCACGCGCGCGCGCACGCACACACTTCTTTCTGTCTTTTAACTAGGGCATAAAAACGGCATAAAATGAATCTGTAATATGAAATTGCCCAGAAAAGGGACTTCTGTTTGTGACATGAGGCTAAATCTAACCAGATCCATCGGTGAATTGTGACAGATGGAGGGACTGTGAGACAGAAGGCAGGCACTAATCACACACAAAATGACCGGCTTGCCTCAACATGTTCCATGGATTCCAGCAAACTTTACACCCTAATCCATTTTTAGAACAAAAAACATCTGGGCCATAAATCCTCTAATCTGCCAAAACACGCTATTAAATCCCATGATTTGTTGAAAAACACTAAGATTAAAGAAAGGAAATATAAAATGGCTAACTGCCGTGTTAGGAAAGTGTTATTAATACTCTTTCTTTGTCTCAATTATGAATGTTCTGTTCCTAAAGAGCCTTGTCTAATCATGTCAGATTACACATCCTTGTTGTATTGCTAGACTCTTCTATCTGATCCACTGATTGCCAAAAAACGTAGGACATTGTCTTGCTGCTTAAAACATTTCAGGGGAAGAAGCTGATGTCAGATTAGTTCAGTGCCGCGCTGCTGTCAGGATTTTAGTTTGGTTTGGGTGTTTATTGTTGCTCTGTCAGACTGCAGACGGAACGGGACTGGTATTCCCATCTCCCTTGGCACGCAAGAACTAGAAAGAAAAAGTTTCTGTGCGGTTTGACTGCCGTTAATTGTGCTAACAGTTAGCTTTTGGCTGAATACCCGGGAACCCTGTGAGTTTTATGTGAAATAACGCCATCCACATTGCTTCTATCAAATGTCCCCGTTCAGCGACTCCCAGCCAATGGAATTCCAGTAATTCCAGCTTTCCCAGCATAAGCAAGGATATAACCTGCACCAGCACCGTGCTACCAGCTGATTTTGTTTTTAACTTGCATTTTATCAACTTGCCTGGTTTCTTCCCCACTTTGCATCTGTTACTGATCGAGCCTGCGTGTAGTCAGAATAAATTAAAAAGGAAGCAAACAAACAAACAAACAGTAGTATTACTGTTGGTCGTGCTCTTGATTAGGGTAGGTATTATACTTTCAATCTGTAACAGAGCCGAATTTGCCTAGGAACTGGAATTCATGCCCTTCTCCAGACTATTTGGCTTTTCCTGAATACTGCTATCTTTGAGACAGTTTGGCACATGACAGTGAATAAAAGCAAGCACTCCTTATGTTTTTCAGTAGCTGCCAAGATGCTGGTGTGCAGGGAAATGATTAATATAGAAGTGAGTTGAATGTAAATTATTGTTGTTTAGGGTAGGTGGTGAATTATTGACAGAGAGGGGAACTGCCTTACATAAAATGCCCTTAGTTACAGGGATTGCCAAACTATCATGGAGATGTTGAAGATAATGGCAGAGGGCAGAGAGTTGTTGTTTCTGTTTTTAGTACACGGACATATGCCTGCTCCCAAAAAGAAATGCTTGGATTTAAAGTCATGCATGAAGCCACGACATTTGTGACTGCTCAGTCTGTAGCATATTTTATACACTATAAGGATAGCTCTAGGAAAGGGCTACAGATCTGTACGCCCGAACGCAGCTACGCTCCTCATCACAGAAGGCTCTAAGTTTACACCCCCCAGAGACAACTGAACAATCCATGAACCTTCCTCCGTGCCACGGGAACCAAGCAGCCTGAAGAGCAGCTTTCAGAGAAGGGCCTTAATTTGGAGTTCGTGGCAGTGAAAAGTGACAGCTCAGCTGCCAGGTGGGACGCGCACACCTAGGACAGACAACTCGTGTCTTGCATCGCCAGCTCCAACCATTCAAATGGTGGAAGTAACCGGCGTGTTTCCCAATGACTTTTTGTAGAGGGATTCATGTCTCAAGATAAAAAAGTAATAGAGTTTCTGTACCACTGTTAAGGAATTTACTTCCTTTGAAAACGATGTTAGCAAAATTTTTAAGTGGCATAGCTCCTACTGGTTGGTGAGTTGAAATTGCACGCTCGCTTTTTTAGGATAACCAAATGGTTTCAACATGGTACTGAGCTTTGCTTGCTTTCGTTGGATCTGACCTCGCAGTTGGCTGGAAAAGCCTCTGCCGAGTGCTCACAAGCCTCTCGTTCTAGTCCCCCATTAAGGGACAGACCTTTGTTCGAAGTAGGCTGTGTCTCACCAGCTCCTGCACCACGGTTGCAGGCTGCTTATCTTATATAGACAGTATGCACAGTGATATTGCTCAGCAACCTCAAAAAGTCACTTTCTATATTTGTAGCTGAGAGATATACAGCAGTGAACTCTATGTCATTAACAATAACTTAAGTATGTTATCTTTTGCTCCACAGTTTTCCATGGTTTATTAATGGTATAACACATTAATTCTTCTTACAAGAGTGACCTTTAAAGCTCCATTCATCCTCACAGCTTTTATCCAATTACATTATCACTCATTACAGGTACAGCATTTCAAAATCTGCATTTTGTTAAAAGTAGTAAATTGCAGGGGTCTCAAACCTATGATAGGGAAAGAAGATTGGAGAGGAGAGAACATGAGATGTCCTGCCACTGAGATGCAGGTCAGGTGCTTAACTCCACATCTAAATGTGTGGCTCAGTCTATTGAGGACAAAGAATTTAATGTGAAAAAACTGAAACTCGATCCGTTATACACAGAGAGCAGCAGAGCCAAGCAAATTAAATATGAAATACATTATTACCTACCACAGTTAAACACTGTAGGGCTAATAATAGTAAAGGCATTAACAATTAACAATGTAATATTTACACAACATTTCTGCAATTGTAATGTGTCACAGCAAATAAAATTATTTTCTTTTCTGTAGGATGTAGGAGCATATTCTCTGCTACATGTAAACCTCATCAACATTAGCAATAATCATGTATGCACAGTGGGAGGGTAGCACAGTGGGAGCTAGATCTGTTTTGATCTTTGGACGTAACTATGGGTCTTCCTGGTGTCTAGTTGGTAGGATATAGACTACGGAGAGCTTGGGAGAGACCCACAGAGTCACAGAAAGTTTTTACTACATAGCAGTGAGAAATCACAGAAACAGCTTCTGACAGGTCTGATCTATGGTTTCTTTTGTTCGCGCCATCTCTGGACGTGGCCAGCAGATGTTTTAGTAGCAGCAAGACAGATAGTAGCAACGGTATGACAATTTACCTCACTTATTAACCTAAACAGAGCTTGATTTAGATCCTGAAATCTTAATTCAGGTTATATTCGATCACTTCATGGAATAAGATGTTTCAGCTAGAAGGATGAGGAGCAGCTTGTGTGCGCAGTTTACTTACTCACACAGGGAACAGTCCCTTTAACACACCAGACTTGTAAAATCACCACTAGGACTGTTATTATTTAGGTGGTCTTAGGGCAAAGAGGTAATTTTGACAGAATTAACACTGTTTTCTGGAACGATGTTAAAAACAGCCAGTCAAGACTTTTTGCAAGATACAGCATCAAATTTGTTTTTAAGAATGAACCTGGTGATTGTGTTTCTTATTAGACCCAGGTAAAATAATGCTTCATGCAGCTTTTTAGCAGACTAAGGGTTAAACCTGTAATTTTGCAAAGATGTACTTGCATACGTAGACTTTTAACTTAAAGGGAATTTTTCTAAAGTTTATTTGTCACTTTCAGATGACATAGTGGAATATCACGTGTCCTTCATGCCCACCATTAGACAGGTCGCTGACTTTAATGCATGCCATTAAACAAACAGCATTTATTAACTGTTATTGATAAAGCAGTGTCTGAAATAACACAGGCTTTTCTTTGCTGAGTCTGGAAAATTTGAGATGCTCCTCCTGAAATCTTAAGTCTCTGTGAGCTTCTTCCCTGACATCAACTACAAATGTAGGGTTATGGTCAACCCATGAGAGCTCATACAGCACTGCCTGGCAACTGGCTAATTAAGGCGCACTTTCTAATAACACCTATTAGTTGTTGTGAGGAGGCATAAATGAAACGGAGCTTACCTATTGTGTTAGCTCGGGCCGAAGGGCTAGCTAATGTTGCTGGCACAGAGGATTTTAGTGAACTGGCCCCACTGTTTATTCTCAGAGCGGGCATATGAGGAGAGGTGGGTGATGTGGGAGACTTGCCATCAGATGTCTTGGGTTTGGCTGAAAGGTTCAGAGGCTGGGCTACTTCATCCTACAACAAGCAGAAGAGAAAAGACTGTTATTAAAAAACTGCTGCTGGCACAACACCGTCCAAGCAAAGACAGTTGTTTTCAGCTCATATGAACTTCTAAACCGGAAAGGTTGTATGATATATATTAAGATCAAATGTGATACCATCTTGTCATTCCAGTTTGGAACTGAGATGACTGATAGACTGGAAAATTAGCATGACATGATCAGAGAACATCCTCCATTTGCACACTGTATGTAAGAATTGTCTCTGAAGAAATTATTCATGTCAACAAAGTATATCCTTCTACGATGACAATGAAGAGCACTTGTACAATTATATTTTATTGTTGCTTCATTTTATACTTGATATTGATAATTAAATAAGAACTGAAGAGCAGTTTCACTTAAAATTCCCCCACTACCACACAAATTGGGCAAATGTGTTTGAGCGAATGGGTTTTCATGTGGTTTTTCGTGTTCCTGTGTTCCTTTTGCTGCTGTTGGTTTTTTGTTTGTTTGTTTGTTTTTAAACTTGCGCTTTCCTCTGAACTCCCCATGCTTAGAACTGAAAGCACAGAAATGTCATAGGAAATAAATACTTCTCTTCTACCACAACAAGAGAGCAGGAAGAACCTGCCCTTTCTTTCCACAAAATTTGAAACAATGACCTGGAAAATTCTGCATAAGCCCTTAGATTTTTTCATATTCTGCAGAGCTGGTCTTCAAGATATCAGTATTTATTATTATGCAAAAATAGAAAAAATGGGTGACATTTTTTGCAGGGTAACTGGTATTATTCCTAAACCTGTCTTGATTACACAGAGTCACAGACAGTGCTATAAAACACATTAAAATTCCAAGTAATGTATTTTTGTTTGACCAAAATAAAATACAATAAGGGAAAAAAAACCCCAAAACAGGGAAGGGAGAAAAAGCTTTTCAGCAAGGGGGATATTTTAGAAGTGATTTTAACTGATTTTTAAATAACCAGAACTAATGGATATGGTATTAGATCCAACCACCACATTTTAGCTTAGCTTTCCTCTGACGCTGTGACTTAGGAAAGCCATCCTTTACCTGCTGGACAGCGTTACATCGTTCAACTGGGTTTTGGCTCTGGGCACTGAGGAAGCTGATTCTGATCTCCCTAAGTCGTAAGCACATTCACTGTTGTAGAGTTATTCCTGACTTAGGGCGGTGCAAAGCTGACTGGAATTAGTCTCATAATGTTTGAGTGTTTTACCGTTACCACTAAGGTATCTGTAACTACTATCATATAATACGGATTCTTTTCCACAGAGGGTGGTGTGCTGCAGTAAAGAGGAATTTTTATAGTTGCCTATTGCTTGTGGAAGTATGATGTAGATGTATGTCTCCAAACACAGGACAATTCTGCAAAGCACTGTCATGTAACTTTTCTATTACCTGAAAGAAGCAAGATCTGAGCAAAGCGCTTTTGTTGTATTTGATTATTTCTACACTTTTGTAATAGTCACAGTTAAATTAAATCTTAGCAGACAAACGTATCGGGGATATCACGGACAAAGCTGTCATCCTTAAAGTGGTATTTGAGCCGTAACACATGAAACGTGCATAAAATAAAGGAGAAAAAAATCAGTATATAAAATTGACTTAGGAGCCTATATTCCGTAATCTCAGAAGTGACTTAGGCATCTAGAAAGCATAATTCTGTCAATCTTCTAGGAGACTTAAGGCTAGGGGTTAAAAATGCCACCCAGTTCAACCAGCGTTTGACATTTTAAGAAGGTATTTGTCACTTTGCAGAAATACAAATCCATCTGTATGAGAATAAAATAGAGTAACCTACTATCCAAATCAAAGGGTACTTCTTCCTCTGTTCCACTGATTTCACTCTTTTTTTAAAAAAAAAAAACCACAATCCCACAACAGTGCAACTATAATGTTGTAAAATCAGATTCGAGATAGTTGCATAAAAGTATAAGCACAAAGCAGCCAACGAACCAACCAAAGACAGTGATCCTGTGCCAGACAAGGATCCCTGAAGAGCAAAGTCATCGAGTTGGAAGACGGTATCAGAAGCCACGCCAACCTGCCCACAGACTTGTTTCCGTTCCATCCAAGAGGAGGTAGTTTCCCTGTATACGCAGTGCTTGACCTCTGTTGTAAGTCTCAACAAAAGGGGCTGATACATTCCAGATCTGGCAGTAAAGGCTGCAGTGTGCTCTCTGGCCACTGGAAATCTGACCAAGAGCAGCACTCCTGTTCATACAGGGCAGCAACCAGTCCCTGCTGGGAACGACTCCCACACGCTGCAAAGTCAGCTTGCATTCCAACCTGCAACCTCATGCTCAAAAGGGGTTTTTTCCAGTCCCATCCTTTTGACTCAATCCTTCATCTATCTTGTCCCTATAAAGTTTATTTCCTTCTTTCCCTGGCTCCTTCTCCCTTTTCTCAGTTGTTCTGTTCCCTTTTTTTAGCCTGGTGTGAAGGCAAGGTCCACTACAGAACAGTGGTTTTGGTCTCCTTTAACACAAATCAGAAAGGGAGGAGGTGGTTTTTTTTTTTTTCCCCATGATAGGCATCCAGCAACGAAGCTGTCTGTGCTGTAACTATTCTTGGTAGTAAGAATGCTCTTCTTCATTCAAGTCAGCACAGCCTTCTCCGGAGCCAAGAAGTATAAGGCCTTGTGGAAATAATAGAAGTCGACAGTTCCAGAGCCGATAAATGTCATTCCAAATTGCCCCTTCATTCACTTTCATTGTGTGTTCAGGCTAATGGTAAATTAATCGGAGGTCACAGAAGCTTGGTTCTCATAAAGGAGGATAAGTAAACAATTTTCAGCTATTATATGTATTTACAAAGTGATATTACTTCACTATTTGGTCCTCATAACAGTTTTACTTCTGTTATTTCAAAGAGCATTCTCAAATCCTCACTGAAAGTAAAATACGTTAAAAATTCAGTTGGAGACTTTAGAAATCCTACATTGGATCATGAGTTGGTAATAATTTAATTTCCTCTACCGCAGTGGAACAATACTGATTTATTCCATGGGAGTTAAAAAAATATCTGGGAGACCTCTAATAATACACAATTGCGTTAAGCCTGAAGATGACTGTTAGGATGTTCACTTCCATACGCAGTGACCCATTTTACTCTTCTTCCTACCTGCAGACAGAAATTCAAGATTCTCTGCTCTTCCAGTACAAATCAAGAACTGTACTGTCTCCATGACTGATTTGTGCCTGCTTAACCACAAGAAGAAGTAGGTGTTGGCCTACCTTTCTTTTTAACTCTAAAATCTGCCAGCTAGCATTCTGCCACGTTACGGAGTAGCAGGCTTCACTCTCAGCTCTATCAAGGCTGTGTGTGAGTGCAGCATGACAGCTAGGGCAAATAAGAGTAATAAAAAGAAAAAAAAATAGATGTAGCATGTTCACTCCAGGTAGATGATATCTTTCAACAGCCAGGAGATTCCATTTTATACAGTGGGATCACAGAATCTAGAACTACTCCCTGCACTTAGTTTTTATGAGAGAAAGCTCAGTATTGATTGGTTCCTGCCTTTTTTTGACAGGCAGTTATTTTCAGATGACATTCATAAGGGTTTTTTTTTTCAAGCCAGTATTTTTAAAGAGTTAAACAAGGTCACACATTTATTTATATATCAGCCAAAACGATTAATGCTTAGACCAGAGGATGTTAAGACCCAAAAGGCTTGTAATAATATAAACACAGATGTGATGAAAGTAAAATAGGATCTTGATTAAAGGTTACGAAATGTTTCCTTTAAAGTAGTGCTTTTGTCTAACAAAACAAAGGACACAAAAAATATAAATGTAGAGAATAAAGCATAAGCAAAAACACACGACGGAGGGCTAATAAAACGAAGTACCCACAGCAAGAGCAAAGCATTGGTAAAGAGATTCCCATCCCCTCTATCACAGCCGTGTCAGAACAGTCACTACTTTAGGGAGAGCTGCTGGTTTGCTTCCCAGGATTGGAAGACTGTCCTTAACCAAAACTTTGGAGCTCGGGGAAGTTTTAAATCCTTGTTTTGCTCTAGATTTTTCTCCCAGCTGACCCCGAGACATATGAGGGAAGAAAGAACCCTTCACCTACACCAGAATTTTGGGGGTAAACAAAATATTCAAGAGCTGTGTTTTGTACCTCCACTTGACCTGGATTTGTGTGACTTTGAGCTTTCATATTGAAGCATGAGAGACTGAAAATCTCCAAATACAAGTGCCTGACAAGCAACACTTAAACAGAAATACTGCTGGTAAGTTGAGTGCACATCACACTGCTTTGAAAAGGCTTGTACTGTCCTTTGAAAAGGTAAAATGCTAGGTAAACACACAGTCCTTATTAATATGGGAGGAAAAAATGAAAGAGAGAGAAAAGGAAAGGATTTGGTCACAGTCATACAGTAACGTAGCAGTGGTGTTTCCGACAGACCCAGGAATTCTGACTTGCAGTCACCAATGTGGCAATGGGTGGCTGAAATGGTGCATTTTCTAATCTTTCATTCGTTCTGCCCCTGTTCACTTCCTCCTAAGGTAAAAGGTTAATTTATGTCTATGAAGAAGGGATTTGGAAAAAGAGAGGAATAAAATCTGATTCTGAGAATCTCTCTAAACCGTTTATTAAAAATGGCACGATTTCAACCCCAAGAGCTGCATAAAAGACTGATAGCCCAGATGAATGAACCAGTCTCTGAGAAAGAGAAGGTGGTGGTGGGGAAGAACCCAGATGATTAATTTGGATTTCATAATCTCACTTGTTTTCACACATTTCAAAGATTAATATACTATTAAGATACAGTTACTGAATTATTGTACTGTCATTTAAATCCAAGTGCTGTATCCCACTGTGGCACACACTCAAGGTCCAGGTTGCACGGTTTATTACAAAACCATGAACTACTCTGGGTATCATCTGACTGGCAATACAAATGTGCTTAAATGACCTGGCATAAGCACAGCCTAGCATGCTCCACTAAAGAGGCTTTTCATGACCTCTGGGAACACATTTGCC